CGTCTGGTGTTCTACTGTATATTTGGTGTTTGTATCGAAGTGAGGTATGTTTCACAAAAAATTTTTTGTACGTTTTTTAGTTTTTTATTTGTGTTCGGTTGTATCCATATAATATTTTATATATATTTAGTTGGCTGAGGAGGGGCAAATGCCCGAAACGTAGATGTATAGCAAAGCGTTCTAACTGAATAAAGATTGAAACTTGCCTAGTGTTGAAGAAAAGTCACTTCATTGTGCCAGTATACAATTCATATAAATGCATAAAAGATTACAGTAGAGTCCCATACAATGTGCAAATAAAGCAAGCAACACCCTCGAATTATGTTGATCAGAGGTATACAATTTTTTTTTAAACTTATAGGGCAATGTTTAAACTCTCATAAATCATGTGATAATGCAGGTTTCGATAACGCGATTTCCTATAATGCATAACGAATCCCCACATTGTATGGGACTCTACTGTACATTAAATTTCTATCTTTGAATGTTACTTTAAATAATGTAAGATAGATTGTAATAATTTATGGTGTAACTAATTATTAACATCAAGTTTGATTTTTTGATAAAAATGTATTTTTAGGCAAAAAAAGCATATGAAAAAGCTTTTAAGGATGCTGAAAAAGCTCATGACAATTTTCAAAAAGCTGATGCAGATTTAAACTTGTCAAGAGCTGAAGTAGAAAAAGTAGGTTATATCAGAAATTTTTTATTCTTTATATAACAAAATTTAAGTTTAGTGTGTTGATAATTGAAAAGTTTATTTCCAAAACAATTTAAATCTAACNTATTAGAAAATATTAATATATAGTAGAAATTTCTGAAAGATTTTCTAAATAAAACTATTTATTTTACATTATATGGTTCAATTATTGTTTACAATGTTTAAAACATTCAGTAAAATACAAACAGTAGTTCTACATAAAGCATGAACTTTAGTTAAAAATGATGATAATAATTAGATACCTTTTTAAATGCTTTTTTTCCTTCCACTTTGCAATTAATATGTGTATATATATACATATATATATTAATATAAAACTACACCTTGGCTTTGTGTGCTTTTCATGCTATTATGCATGTCTGCAACTGCTTGAAGTTGATTATTTCTTCTATTATAAATTTAGTAGCATTCCATCAAACTTTCAGACATACCTAACAGAAGTAACAGGTAAAGCTCTGACTCCAACTACTCAAAAAAGAAGTAGAAGCAGTATATCTGAAGATTCATTATCTAGAAGTGCATCAGATTCAAGTGTTACTTATCCAAACAACAAAAATGCCACTCTGGGAGCACTCCCTCCCAATGGGTAAGATCATCTTGCCTGATTTATGTCCCCAATATTTCATAATAAAAATCTTATCACATACTTATTTAAAATAAATGTCAAGAGTAATTTAAATAATTAACAATGTGGATTTAATTAGGATTAACATATTTATCATTTATCCAAAAAAAGACATCTTCATTTTGAGAATTAAAATACTGTATGTGCATTTTTGTGAATTCTCTGTTTCTAGTGATTGGATGATAGGCAATGCCACACAAAGAATTAGCAATCTTTCTTCATTGATAACAGCATAGCATTAAATTTAGAATTCAGAACTTGGCTACCAGGCCAATTACATTGACAATTGAGTAATGTGTCCACTTCTAACACTACATTTTTAGTATTAAATTTTGCTTTGCATTTCCAGTTTTAATTATGATTTTGGTTGTAAATCTCAATTAGCAGTAGCTTCACTTTTTGTCACGTGTGGATGGCACGTAGTGTTTGCTGTACTTTTATGATGATCTACAGTTTATCCATCTAGATGTATTGAAGCAATTGCTTACTTAATAGTAGTCAAGAAACAAAACTATAATTAATTTTAAAGTGTAATTAAAATGATTAATTTCATGATAATAAAGTAATAATTTCTAAATAATCAATTTTTAGTTCTATGTTACTTATCAGACTTAATCAGGTATTTAAAAACTTAACTTACTCATTACACACTTTTCTCAAAAATGATAGTGTTTTTACTTAAGAAATCAACAAAAATGATTTTCATAGAGTACTTATTCAAAGTCCATTGTTGATTATGTTTACCATAATCATTAATGCTTTCTTTTGAATTACTTTATTAAAAATATGCTTTGTTTAAACCATAAAAATTCAATATTTTTTTTAATATAAAAATTCAATTATTTGTTGTACATCTAATTTTTTATAATGCAGTCATTGTTTTTACTTTGTCAAAATTTTGAATCTTTGATGATCTTATTGGAATTAATTACTAGTTACTAATTCCATAAATTAAATTAGATTTTATTAGTTTCTAATAAGAAACTGTTTTAAAATTTAATTCTTTTTAGTTTCTTTAGTTTGCCAGTTATTTTTTAATTTGCCATTGACCATACAGCTTGGAACATAGCCAACATTGCTAATAGTACAACTTGGAGACAAGCCATCTCTTTATAAGATAACATTAAAATGGGGCAGTTTGACAGGAAATTTAAAATCATGTTCAAAGAAGCTTTAAAAATTTCTTGCAACTAAAAAAAATTATTATTATATTGACTATGAAGAAAAAAATAAAATTTATTTTTATTATTAGTTTGTTATAATCTATTAGATATAAAAGACTTAAACATGTTTTAATTTTTTTCAATAATTTCAATATACAGAAAAACATTAATTATCCAAATTGCCCTCCAACTTTGTTAAAAGTAAATAGGCATGTATGTATATGTTCCATATATATGTGTGAAAAGTAAAGTTTTTCTTAATGTAGAAAATAAACTGTATTTATTTCTATGTACATTTCCACATTTAATATTTTATTTGTATATAATGTACACATGTACTGTACATAACGGGATGTTTGGGTGGAAGAAGACTATTTTGCGCAAAAATTAAATTATCTGGATGTTCCATATATCAATATGGCCCAAAGTCCTAATTAATTTGGATAATTGGAGTTTTACTGCATTCAAATAAAAAAATGTTATTAACTAGTTGCATTCAGTTTAAATAAAACATTTTAAATGTGTCAGTTTTTGTAATAAATATTGCAACAATTTATAGATATATAATTTGATTTTTAAAAAATTGCTGTACAATTTGGGAATGATAAAGTTGACAATAGATTAACTATTTAACAATAATAATTATACTTTTAACAAGATAAATATGTTTAAATGTATATATGTATATATAATTAATTTTTTTTCCAGGCCAGAACAGTTTTAACTACTAAAATACAGGCTTGTGAAGATAGTAAAACAGAATATGCTAATCAACTTCAAAAAACAAATGATTTACAACATCAGCATTATTATGAACTTATGCCTAGTGTTTTTCAGGTTGTATAAATATTTTTAAGAATTTTAACTGTTATTAAGATATATGTAATTATACTACTTAGTCATTGTAAATAGCCAGTAAAAAGTAAAAACACAACACCCAATTACTGGTTAATATTAATAATAAAATTTCCATTATGTCACTAAACCAATAAACCAGCAAAGAACCACTCACTTTGAAAAGCGAATGTTGTCATCCATTTTTAAAAGGACATCTTCTTGCTGGTGTTCAAAATTCAAATGGCACATTTTTGAACAGATCTTAATCTTTACATTGCTGTAGCTGATTGGAGGATAGTTTATAGTCACTGATTGATGGAAAGGTTGTATGTAGCATCTTGCATGGGATGTGATGTTTCTGTTGAATTGATATATATTTTTCACAAGTTTGGGATTGCTCTATCCTCTATAGATGATGGCTTTTTTTCTTGCAGCTGCCTTGTATGTTTCCATTAACTCCAGATATCTGATGTGTGATTTATCCATGTTCTATGTTGGATTTTGTCCTGATTGAAATGGACTTTCATGTATGGATCCCTGGCATGCTGCCAGGATGGTGGTTAATAGGCCTTTTAATAGTCAGTAATTAATTTTACTTTTTCTTTAAAATCTCTGCTTCTGTTTGAGAGATGTTTTTTAAATTACATAAAACTGTCATTATATTAAACTTAGTTTTCTGCATAGAAATCTGGTTTAAAATTTTCAACAACTGAAACCACTGATCTTAAGCTTTATCTTGAAAATGTTCAAGTGAAAGAAAAGAGATTCTAAGAAAAAGTTGATATTTATACTTGCTTATTGTAAATACTAATGTGTAACTACAATTAAATGTTAAGTTTTTTTAGAACATTCATTTAATTGAATAATGGTATTAAAAGAATTTTTGCTTTTCAAAAGGACAAAATTTTTAATTTCTTAAAACTTTTGTGTTATTTTTTTATATTTTTCTACTTAAACTTTATTCTTAAAACTTTTGTGTCATTATTTTTATATTTTTCTACTTAAAAAAATTAAATAATATTAAATATGAGCTTGTAGGAAAGTGTACAAATTAAAAGAAAGATAAATTTCCTGAAAAAAATTTGAGGGAAAAGATGACAAAATTCAATATTACTGCAAATCAAAACATAAACTTGTCTATAAATGCCTCACACAGATCTAAATCTGTCATAAACAAAATAAATTTTCCTTTTATTTATAAGTTTATTTAATGAAAAATGATTTTTTTATTATGTAAATTATATTAATGAGTAGTAAATGTATTACAGCAATTGCAAGATATGGATGAGAAAAGAATTACTGCTGCTCAAAATTTTATGAAGCAAACAGCTGATATTCAGCGGCAAGTATTTCCTATAATTAATCAATGTTTAGATGGAATGATTAAAGCAGCAGAATCTATAGATCCAAGACAGGTATTGTTGTTTTCATTTTATTGCTTGATTAGTTAGCATTTAACAATTCATTGGTTATTTATTAAAGTTATTTTTGAAATAAACATATATATTATGATCTAATTTCATTTTAAAAATTAGAATAGAAAGTGAATTAAAGGCTAAAACAAAATATTAGATGTATTTGATGTATAAGTTTATTAAATAAAATCTTTTATGATTTATTAACAGAAAGAAAAAGAAAACTCTTTTGTTTTCATATTTTCAAATTTTAGTGTTAAGTATTTATCTTTAATAAAAGGACTCAGATTGAAGATTTATTTTCATATTTAATAACACACAAATGTAAACTTGAAGTTCTGTATTACTAGTTGCAATTTGCAATTTATTTTGAATATTTTTGTTGTTATTAGTATTTTATAAATTTTTAAAATGTTTTTATTAAAAAGCTTTATAATTTGTTTAATAGAATTTAAATATTTGTATATTTCTTAAAAGAAATGAAATATAAATTTCAAAAGCTGGCTTTTGTGTATCTCAGTTTTATTGCTAGCTCAAAATTTGAAATGCATATTTTGTTTTTATGTTACAAATGATGTGGCTTTTTTTTTCTTAACTCTCTCTGCCTTGTGGACATTAAGAGGACCCTGTTTATCTAGCCCCATTATAGATTTGGCAGGTCCAGTGGAACAGCCAAATGTGAAGGATGGGGCCCAACATATCTAGATAGAACCAACCCAAAAAATTCCTGAGGTTTTTTCAGTTCACTCAGATTTGATACTGTTTTCCCAGAGTATTAGGCTGATGCCATAATTGCTTTGGTCATCTAGTGGGCAGGATGATGTGGTCAAATTTTATAGAACTAGAAAGAAGTAATAAGAATGGTATTTAGAAATTTATTAATGTTTGGAAAGAAAAGAACATAATCACAATTTTATTAACTAAGTTTAAATCTATAACAATTTTATTTCTTTACAGTTTCTAATTGATTGATTCAAAGTATAAAAAAAAACAGTTAAAAACTTTCAAATTATGTTTTTGGTATTGAGTGTAGCTCTGCATAAGTTAGTGCTTTGTTTGTGATTAACCTTTAAAGCAACTGATCACCCACTAAACATGATTTTTTGCAAATATGTACAACTCAGCAAGGTCACTGTCTCAATAAAGCTGGAATTTTTAAATTCAGTCTATAGGCTGAGATATTCAAGGTTATCTTATAAAGGTAAGGACTTTACCTTGTAAAGTCTGTGTGCAAACTGGCAGAATGCAATACATACAGTTGGCAGTTGTATGCTGTTTGCATGCAACATGTTACTTGATTTTCTGATTGCTGTCAATTTACATTGTTCTCTACAGCAATTTTTTATTTTAGATTTAGACCAGTTTTAGATTTTTACACTCTGGAGCTCAGTTTTGTTTTCCTCGAAAATACCTAGTAAATTTACTAATTATAAATATGCTGTAATTCATAATGGCTTTATATTTTTATCTAAAATTTTATTAAATTAAGTTTTATTTTTAACATTGGTTCTGCAGATCAAATCTAATTTTCCACAAATAGTAAAGATTGAACAAATTAAAATAAATATTAAATAAATAATTAAAAGAAATATTAAAAGAAGTATTAAATAAATCAAGTAAATAAAAATGAATTTGCTATTGAATTGTTTTTTTTTTTTTATGTATAAGAAACTAAGAAACAAATATTTAATCAATATTTTGTTGCTATAAATTTATTTAAATCAAAACTAAAATATAATTAATTAATTTTAAATGCATTTCTTTTTTCAGGATTCCCTTTTAGTGATAGAAAAGCATAAAACAGGATATATTCCTCCAGAAGATTTTGGTTTTGAGGATCTCAATAATCAAAAATCATCTGATAGCACATCAAATACTACTCCTGTATCAACTTTAAAGTCTGAAACAATAAAAGGAACATATTCTGCAAATAAACAAAAGAAAAGAGGGGGAATATTTGGCATTTTTAGTTCAAATAAAGTAAGAATTATTATTTAATTGTAATAATTAAATGCTTTTTTTTATTTAGAAATTTATCTCAAATTGAGTACAGATGGGTTTATTTGAATAATTTCATTTTAATTTCAGTTTATTTAATAAAATTTTTACAAAAGGAAGGGAGCAAGTTGTCTTTATTAGCTCCTCCCTCAACTAACAAAATAAACAAGACAGTTTTCATAATCAAATTTGGTTAAAAATATTAGAGAAAAATAATTTTGCTGGTAAAGGCTTACCTAGAGATTTTTTTTTGTACAGTTGAGAACCAGTAATATGTAGTAATCAAATAAATATCTTTTCATTTGAATGAGCCCATCACTAATTAACAGTTAATTGAATCAGATGATATTGAGAAATTAAATAAATTATAATTTTCTAAGTTACACTCACTATATTACATTTTGTAATCTTTGAGAAACAACAGTTATCATGAATTGCTAATAAAAACAAATGCATAAATACTGTAACTCTTCTTTAGAATGGACTGACAGATGGAGTCCAGTAATGCTAGTTATTGGTAGTTATCCAATAATGCTAGTTTGACAGACTTAACATCTAACAATAGTACAATTAATGATCCAGTAATTATATACCTACCATATCTATGAATCACTATAGATTACTAAAAAATTAAATGAAATTAAATGTGGACTGGTGTTTACATTTGAAATTACTTACATATCTTTTTTTAGAAGCCATAACTAGGATTGAACATAAGTAAAATGAGCTAGAAATTACAATAGAGACAATTATAATCTAAGTAAACATACACTACGCAAAATGCTATCTATGGTCATTTAGTGAACAAGTCAAGCAATTGTTGGAGTTTAAAGTATCCTCTCATAATTCTGTTTAGATTAAAAGAACTGTTGAGCTATTGGTGCTGGAAAATCAGTGGTGAACCTCTAAATGATACATTTGATAAAAAGTTACCAGGACAAATAAGTTTAGTTACAAAATTTAAGAAAATTCTTAAATAAAGATTTTTTTCTTTTTATTCTTAGTTCTTTTTTTTAACATGAGAAAATTAACAGTTTTGTGGCTGAGTTGGCCTTTCTGTTACATGTATTTATTATTTTTCAATAGTGTTGTCACTAGAGGAAAGATTTTAAACTTCTACATATTGAAGCAGACAAGCCTCAAATGAAAGCAGTGAAACTGTTAATTTCCTTGTGTGTGCATAAAGATGAAGTTATAAGACACTTTTATGTATTGTCTATTTTAAGAATTTTCTTAAATTTTGTAACTCTAAATGATAGTTAAGGAAAAGAGCATGTTCTATTACTCTTACATATAATTAAAAAAGTAACAATTTTATTTTACTACTTAAGCCACTTTCAAGTCACCCTTTAAGTTAAATGGCAAGAATATAATTCTAATTTTGGCATTATAATTGTTTAGTACTAAAATGAACTGCTATATTGCCAGTAATCAGAGATTTACCTTCCTCAAAATTAAATTTAAAGAGATTATTCTGCTATTTATGCACTTCTGTGACAAAATGTTTGAACAATTAGTCAAAAAATATCGCTATTGAACCAGACTTTACTAGCATGATTTATTTGTAATTCACTTGATTTGCAATCCAAAAAAATTATCACAAGCAGAGTGTTTGATGATGCATTATGCACCAATAGTAGACATTTTTTGCTACACTGCTCAACAATCATATCAGTACAAATCAGAAGCTTTTTGCTGGTAATTAGCATTTAATTTAAAATTTAAACTACTATTTATTATTTAAGATGACTTTGAAATGATATGCTGCTTTATTAAAAGAAATATTATTGTACAGTATATGCAGAAGCATATACTGTACAATATGAGAGCATGGAAATGGAGCTACCAAATTTTCATGAAATATTTAGATAATATACATAAATAGATAGTCTGTTTCATCTATTTATGGCATTTGTATTGTTTCTTTACTTAACTTTATTCCTTGAAAGATTTTCCTCCATAAAGAATTAAAATTTTATTCCAATCTCATTGTGCATCTTAGAATTGAGGAAAAATGGTATTTTGTAAATCAGCATATTGTTCTTTATGAATGGTATAAAATTATGAAAAATTTAGAAAATTAGTTAAAAGTAAAAATTGATTTGAAAACTTTATACTTAGAAATTAATTAAAATATTTTTCATAATTAACAAACAAAATCTTTTTTAGAAAATAAATATTACTTTATTAGTTTTATAGTTCTGGAGAATAAGATATAATGAATTATATAAATATGTAATAAGTTTTATGTTTAAAATAATAATTTGCCAATCATAACTTATATTATTTATATTACAACTATAAAATATCAATAAATTTGAATCTTATGTTAATTTAATATTCTTTAAGCTATCTATAATGCAGTGTCTAGATTTTATTAATGCTAGTTTGCTCTAGATTAGAACTTTTTATGTATTTATATAATTTTACTTATGTAGTGTGTAAAATTTAGTTTTTTTTTTTTTAAATTGGATCAAATGTACAGTTCATTTCCTAACTATAAATTTGAATTGTACATTTTAGAATTTTAAATTTATTTTTAATTTAGAACAATGTATCTTGAAATTTTTTAACAAAGGATTTGAATGATGATTACGTATTTCTGTGAAAAAATTGAATGACAAAATTTAATAATAATTCTCATAAAACAACAAATCTAAAGTTAAAAAAAATATTTGAATTTATTTAATTTACTAAATGTAATCAATTTTAAATTAGTTGTTTTTATTTTTAATTTTTATAATATAAATTAATCCACAGCATCATATTGATGATTCAAAAGATGATTATAGTGATTTACCTCCTAATCAAAGGAAAAAGAAACTTCAGCAAAAAATTGAACATATAAATAATCAGATTCAGCAAGAATCTGCAACAAGGTAATTTCAATATAACTTGTTAAACTTGTTCATTTTTTTATATACTGATTCTCAATTAATTAATGATATAGCTTAATCATTGAAAAAATGTTTAAAAAGTGTAAGAATGACATAACAGTAACAATTTTCTAATAAATGTTTATAAGAGAATTTATTTAAGAAATCTTAATTGTTGAAGTAAAAATAAGTTTATCCTTGCACATATCTAACTGAATTTAGAACAATGACAAAGCCCCTCTTTTCTACCCCATCACTTTACTCAGTTCCTACCCTAGAGCCCATGGGATAAAGTTTAAAATAAAGAACTGATCTATTGAGCTTACTCTAGTACTCCATTGATAGACTGATATCATATTGCTTGAGCTATCCTGTCTGGATAGTTACCATTTTAAAAATCTCCAAAATTTATTACATAAATATATACAGTTAATAATATATAATTTTCATTATTTAGAATTAAGAGTCAATTGAGAGTCGTATATAAATGAAAAATGAATAAATATTAATTTATAGTTTTTACAATTTTGTATAAAAAATTTATTATATTAGTTAATAATAAGTAATTTAAGATTATTTTAAAATTATATATTATAATTTTATTTATTTCTTAAGAAGAAGATATTTCTAAAAGAAGATATATTTAGACATATCTTAATTATTTAGGATATATCTTTAAGTAAATGGAATAAATTAGAACATGGTATTGGACCAAATATCCAGCGAGTATGGGACCAGAAGTGGTCTGGATTTCTGGACTTCCCAGTTTTATGGACTTAGATTAAATATATTACTTAAATATAAAACTAGTGGAAAGTAAAGAACTGAACTGTTTTTAACATATCATATGTTAGCAGTCAGTTTTCATGGTGTATGCATCATGTGATGCATACACCATGGAAACAAAAACAAAGTGGTGCATGGTTAACTGCAGCTTACTGCAACTAGCTAGTCCAAAAATATCTGGATTTCTGGAATTCAGATATTTGGTCTGGTACCATATTTGGTTAAAATCAGATTTCAACCGGTAATTTTTATTAACCAAGTGACAATCAGTATTTTGCTGTTTAAGTAGAATTGTGAAATGTAAATTTTAATTTAAAGATTTACTAATATAGTTGTTACAATGTATGTATAAGAGTAAGATGTCATCAATAAGCTAAACTTTTCAAAACTATATTGTTAATTTTTCTAAATAATAATTGATTATATTATGATGATAATTTAAGATTTCTGATTTAAATCTTATCTAGAAAATAATTTTGCTTATTTTTAAATTATTGTTTATTATTATTGTTATTTAGCATGATATACTAATGAGAGTTAAGTAATGAAATAGATAAAATGATACTTATTTAAATCATATTTATTAACATTGGCAAATATTCTAAGAATGATAGCAAACTTGTTAAACATATTTATAATAATATATAACATATTACTAAAAAAAAAATAGAAAAGAAAGAAAACAATTTTGCCATTACTTTTAATGTATGAAGATAAAGTCAACCTTTTTTAAAAAGTTTTAAAAGTTGTTCTAAAATTTTAATTATAAATTATTATTTATTTTAATGAGAAGCTGTTTTATTGTGAGAAACTATTAAGATAAATTAGTTTTAAAATTTATTGATTAAATGATATTTATCAACTTAATTATTATTACCTGTTTTATATACAGAATTTTTTATTTTATCACCTGAATACTTGTTTAGAATCAGTACAGTATGTTTTAATTAAAATTTAGTTTTTTTTTTATAGGTGCAAGAATAATTTTTTAGATTATTTTTATGTATATGAACAATTCTTTAATCATTTTGATAGCAGTTTGTACTGATCGATGGTCAAGCAGCTAAAGTAGCAGATTTTAAATACTGTAATCAAGCATATCAGTTTGGATGAATACTTATTCTTCTTCATTGAAGTATTCTTATATTAAAATAAATGTTAATTTACAAAACATCTAATTCTATATTTTTTAAAAATCGATCTTTTAAAAATTTAAGTTTAAATACTTAATTTAGTATCAAGAAAATTATTTTTCTTTGCAAATAATTTGTAAGGAAAACTAACTATATAAAATCTATCGTCATCTGAATACTTGATGAATAACATATTTTATATTATATTTTTAGATTTTATTTTATTTTATAGTCACTAAATTTTGATAATGCATTCTTTGATCACTATGTATCTAAATTACATATTTATAGTATTATTTGGAATGATAATTTTTCAGAAGTTATAATACAAGTCTTCCAACAAGAATACTACCATTTTAAATTATTGTAATTGTTTTTTATTATCTGGGAATATTATAATGTACATTAAAACTTTAGAAAACTGAGTTTAGAAAACAAGTTTCACATTTACCCCATTACAATTTCTCAATGTGTGCAAGTCATGTCACATTATACATATCCAACTAATACTCAAATCTTCTTACACTCACTACAGCATATCTATTGTCACTCTTTCTAAAGTAGCTACAATTCTACAGATCCTGCAGATTACTCATCCAAAGTCAGAATCATTCATCATTGTTGCACAATGATGAGTGATTCTGACTGCAAACTGAAGAACACAAATGACCTTCTTTACAGCAGATTTGTCATTTTCATTTACAGTGCTTCCTAGAGATATTAGACAACAAGATATTTGAATGCAGATGGGATATGAATCTCATACAATTACTCTACTAATAGGCATACATTACATACTTCTCAGATGATGATTAATGTAATTAGAGTAATTGAAAATGGTAGCATTTATTTAGGAAGACTGTGTGTGTATATAGTGCATAAATTTAAAATGTGTGTTCTCTAGTTTTTAAATCATTCAAACACATACTAAGTGCAGATCTGATTCCACTGTAAAAAGAAAACAAAAAGCACTTGACATTGCTTTGAATAAAAATGTAAGAAATATTTATTGATTGGTGATAATGTTTAATAGCTTTAGAAACATGTATTTGGTATCTTGAGAGAGAGATTTTTTCATATTCTATAAGATAAAACTGAATTTTCTTTCTGTTATTAAAAATAAAAGTTAGCACTCTCTTAAATGGTTAATATCTAATGATATGAGACTGATTGCTGTCATTTCTTTTTATTTTTAATATCAGATGAAGAAAACCTTTCCTTGAAATATATGATGATTTTTTTTCTAATAAATTAATAATTAAACTTATAAACAACAACTCAGTAAACATGATTTTTGATTAAAGCCAGACAATCTGCCAAATTATTGGGCTATGACTATTAACTTTTAACTTATAATAGTCAAAGCCTGATAATTCAGCAAATTGTCCGGTTTTATTAAACTCGTACTTTCTATTGAATGCACCAGATACAGCAGCATAATCAAAATTATGGAAAATTATAATTATTTTAAATATTATTAAAACATGATTTTTATTTTTGAAACTTGTCTTTGTAAATAATAAATTATATTAATATGAATCTAAATAAAATCATCATATCTATTATGTATATATACATATATAATCGATATGATGATTTTATTTAGATTCATATTAATATAATTTATTATTTACAAAGACAATATATATATAGTAGATTCAGCTTAATGATTTATAAGGTGATGTGTGTTTCATTATTATTCAATAATGATATCCTATTTACTGATATAATCTGCTAGTCAGTTTGAATAAGTGAACATACATTTTTTTAATAATATCTGTGTTTTAATAAAACAAGAATTTCACTTGTGAAATTTGTAGTATACTTTCTGAATATTCTGTAGTATGGGAACATTTTATAATTCTTAACATCTATAAGGTACACTCATTTGGTTTTTTTATTTTAATTATGTTCAAAAGTGTAAGATAATATTAATGTCATTTTTTACTGTAGAGAAGGATTGAAGAGGATGAAAAATGCATATGAACAGAATCCAGCCTTGGGTAACCCTCATAGTCTAGAGGGTCAGTTGGTTGAAATTGGGTATAAATTAGAAAAACTGCAATCAGAGTTACAGAAATATCAGGTGGGCAGTCTGTTCATAATTCCTGCCTGCTTGCAGAATGCATGATTTTAAAATGCATGAAAAATCACAACCCTACGAAAATTGATAAATTATTTTTCAACTAAATAATACCCTAACAAAAAAGCATGATATAATTACTGTGTGTCAATGAGAACCATTTTAACTGCCAATTTTCAGCTTTATATCAATTCTCTTAGCAAACAATCAAATAGAAAAACAACACTCATACACATTTAAACATAATCATATACAGATATGCATGTATTCACTTACCTGCTTCATTCAGTTTTGCACATGCACTTTTATAGAGGCACTTATGAAAAAGTTTTATGCTACAATTGATCATGAATCTATTAAAATTTTAAATGTTTAATAAATAATTATATTAACTCATTCTTGCAGTGTGAATTAAAAATTATTTTATTCATAGATGAAGATAAATTACATTATATTCTAGCCTAGTGAAAGAAAATAAAACTGAATTTATAGTAATTTGATACTTCTTGTTTCATAGTTTCTTTCTACATAAACAGAATCTATTATATGTTATAATGTAGTTATTACTGTATTTTGAAATTTAAAAGTTTAACCATTTAAAAATTACATAGTTTTAAAAATTATTTGATATGATAGTTAATCAGTTGATAAAGGAAATAAAATATTAGCATCTTTTTCCCTCCTCCTTCATTTCACTTTTCAATAAAAATTTTCAAATACTTAATCTCACTTCAAAAACTTTTTTTATCCTGAACTTTTTAATATTATTATTTACTAGAATACATTGCTGAATCCAATGTTTTTATTGTTTTCTAGTATTATTTTTTTTCTTTTNGCCCCGGTCTCCCCTATATTAAACTCAGTTTACAATTCTTAGTAACAAATGCTTCTTAAACGGTTAAGTGACTTTTGGGCCATCCTATCCTTATATATTTATAACACCTTGTAAAAAAAGTACAGTAATTAAATATTTTAGAATTAAAGTTATTAAATTAAAGTTATTATTAGTAATTAAATTCCCCAAATTTTAGCTAACCACATATAAAATTACTAAATATAACATAATAATAATAATAATAATAGTCTAATAATATTGATAATAATAGTCTTTATTTGACGTAGAAGGCTTTCGCCTGTTACAAGGGTGTTTTATTTTAAAAAACGCATATTAATATCTCATATAATAATGTCTTAACAGCATTGACATATTCTATTCACTGATCTATAAAATTATATTAATATTTTGTTACAATTATCATTTAATAAATTGTTTAACATAGTTATATAGCATATAGATCATGTTAACATTAACTCTGTCAAAAGTCTTATACATTTCTATCTCACTAGTACAGTTAGCCAGCAGCCAAATCTGAAGCCTTTGTAGTTTTTGGTACAATTTGGACATTTAGATTGGGTGTAGTCATTTTTATGAAAAGTAAATTGAAAATATGATTATTTAGCAAATAAAATACTACAAAGAAAGTTGCTCTTAAATCTGTCTTATCTGAATTTTTTTTATTATAGACTAATTAAAAGTGTTGCAGTAGATAATGTTATTCATCATGCTTTGATTGTTTGTTTGCTATCAATAAATGTATTATAGCAATACTGTTTCCATTTATGCTATTATACAATATTTATCTATTAACATATTTGTTGCCTTTTATTGTATATCTTTTACTTAATGTGCAGACACTTTTTAGTTTCTGTAATTAAGGGCAATAGATATGTTAAATTCTAAATTATTTATCTTGTTTATGGAACAATTATTATTAAGCACATGAATGAACTATAAATAAATGTGTTTTAAAAATATTGAATATGAGTATTATGTATATATATTAATATTGTTAGGCAATTTCTTGTAAATTTTCATGTAAATAGAATTAAAGAAAAAACAAATTATGAAAACAAACAGAATTAACATTGTTCCAAGAATAGTATAATATATACCAATATATAATTTTTTATTTAATTTGTTACATACAGAGTGTTTAAAAAAGCATTCAGCAGCATTTATATGATAGATAGTACACATCATAGAGAATAAAATAATCCTTAGAAAACATTGAAAACTCAGCCATTTTCAATTTATGTTTGTTAAAGTTTTTGAGATAAATAATTAGATAAAAATCGGAAATTTTTGAGACAGTTTGCAACTGTATAAGAATAATATGCTAAGAGTGCATGGAAATGGGAGGAGGACATGTGGAACATCCACAAATACTGAGGTAAAGATTTAGCAAGATTATTCTCTTTTTGCATTGCATGCATCATACAGATACTAACATATAAAATTGTTAATATCTCAGAAATTATGAGTTTTCATCATATGTTTGTTAATTAAGGTATTTTTACTCACAAGTCAGTATGATGTGTATGATCTGCTGTGTATATGTTACCGCTAAAGCTCGAAAGTGTTAATGTGTACATTACCTAGCTAATCTGCAGATTAACTAGGGTAATCCGTTAAAGTTGCTAAAATTGTTCTATTTCTCAAATTACCTAGGTAATGTGTAGATTATCTAGGTAATCTGCACATTACCTACTAGGCACTCGGTAAAGTGAAAAGATCTTTGCTGGAACAACAGCAACGTTTCTGTACGCTTAAATTAACATAATGTTCTTTATTTAATTTTCGATATCTAAAGAATCAAGTTAATACAATCAAACAATCGACAAATTAGTTGATAGAATTAATCATCAACCAATTAAAATCATACAAAAAATCAAACGATTTAAAATATTAATACAATTAGGGAAATTATTATGTAGATAACCATCTATGGAATTTCGGGACTTTGAGTATCTATCTGAACTGACGGGACTGAGGCGACTTCAACGATACCCTACTTTTGGACCGGAGACGAAAAATAATAAAGTTATCATACTTTTTCTGGTGATCGCATGATGTAATTGTGCAGTTAATGTTACCTATGGTGAGTAAAATGGCGGCTCATCTCTGATTCCAGCAAACAGAAGAAAGGAAACAGTGGGGACGCACGTTCTAACCTAACCTAACCTAACCTAACCTATTCTAATAACTTACCATAAGTATTACCAACCAAATTATTAGAATAGGTTAGGTTAGGTTTGAACAGGCGTCCCCACTGTTTCCTTTCTTCTCTTTGCTGGAATCAGAGACAAGCCTCCATTTTACTCACCATAGGTAACATTATCCAATTGTGCTTACTTATTAGTGCAGTCTAAAGATTCGTGACACTTTGAATTTCATAGCAATTAGTTTTTGCGACAAGCACACCTATTTGTGGTACATTTATTTGTGGCAAAGATCTTATTTTCCCTTTACCGAGTGCCTAGTAGGTAATGTGCGGATTACCTAGATACTCTGCACATTATCTAGATAATTTGAGAAATGGAACAATTTTCACAACTTTAACGGATCATCCTAGTTAACCTGCAGATTAGCGACTTTCGAGCTTTAGCGGTAACATAGATATTGAATTTTGTTAACACCCTGTATTTTATATTTCTTATATTCGGATATCTGTCCTTTTATAATAATTTTCTGTATGTATCTATGTTAAACTAGTTACACAATATGACAACTTTGTAATATATTTAATAAAAATATTGCACTTATCAAATAGAAAATGAAAACTTTACAAGAAATATATTTTTATATGTATTTAACCAAGGATTATCTTTCGTTTTAGATTCTGAGATATTCTGAAAATTTAAAATCATTACGTTTAAATGATATATCATAAAATGTTTAATATAGAAATTAATTTCAGCAAGTTATCATATTGTTTCAATATAAATATTTTGCTCAATGAAAATGAACAACTATTTAATTTAAAATTGAGATTTCATTAAACTAAGATAAAGATGAAATATCTTATGAAAGATATACTATCTAAGACCAAATTAACTAGTTTTTCATGAAATGTTTACCTGAAATAACACTGCATTTGGTAATACTGCTATAATGGAACAATTTATTAATTTTATTACATTTAAGGTCATTAACAAGTTTACTTTTAAGTAAAAAAATGTTAATGAATGTTTTAAAAATCCTGTGGTCTTAATATTAGATTGAATTTTGAAAAAAAGTAAGAAAGCTTAGTTGTTGAATCAATTTTTTTTTCTTTCTTTTTTTTGAGCAAGATTTTTTTCCCCAAAGAAAATTCAAAATTTTAATTTTTTTATTAGTGAAAAAGATTTTTAAAAAATTTTTTGTTCCTTCCTTTTTAATAATAGGAAACAGAAATATTCTTAAATAAAAGTAAAGCATTATAATATGATCCTCTTTATAATATTAACATAACAAAATCCAATTCAGATATTTTGTCTCTTTCATTGATCAAAAGATTATTAGATATAACAATGCATAATTTTTTGGAGATTCTAATTAGAAACCTAGACATAAATAGACAATGAAAATTCTTAGACATTGGCATCTGTTTCATTTCTATATTTTTCATAAAGATGTCCTCAAATAAAATCAAGTACTTTCTAGTCTTTTGTAAAATAATGAATTTTATAGATATCTAAAGGAAACAGTTTTTACTACTTTATGTTCATTGCTTATAATTTTCAATAGGGAGTCTTCACAATCTACAACTGTAAATTTTCTGACATTAGTTGAAATCTTAAAGTTAAGCCTCTTATTATAATTTTTAATGCTAAAATAAATGTTCAATAATTCAAATGGTAGATGATAAGTGAAATTAGAAATCATTTACTGTAGTACTGATTTTTTGAATGTCATTGTATCATAAGCAAATAAGATATCTATAATAAATTATGTAAAGAAAACTATTAATTTCACATTTAGAAAGCTGTTTCATATTTAAATTTCTTGGAATAAGTGAGAAACTGAACATACATTTAATAATTAATAACAAAATTAATTTAAGCACCAATTTAACATTTAAGTAATATTTATGAATATAAATACATTGAAAATATATGTTTAAACGTAAAACACAAACTCTCAGTCATGTTTGTGATTATTGAATTGATTACTTTTAATCATATTTTGATTAATGCTTCAATCAGCAGTGAATTTATTAAATAGTTTCTAACTGATGGTAATTTTACCTTAAGAATATCTTTCTGAATTTTTGTTTTGTTGAACTTTTATTTCTATGTTGTTGAAAGGTATGTTCTTGGTTTTGATTTAATAGACGAATTAACTTTTTGAAATTTAGATGTTTTTAAAGTAAAATAAAATTTTTTTAGTTATAGATTTCCAGCATTTACTTTTTAACTTCATTATATATCAAAAGTGATTCTTAGATTCTTTACTCTGTGAAAATCATAAATAGTACAGCTTTTTTATAATATTTTTTTTATTTTAATGCGAAAGAGTTTATTAAGATATATCAATATTTTTTTATAAGCACTGCTGGGTTAATATAAATTATTGAAAAAAGTTGTTTTTAAATAAAGAAAAATCAGACATTACCTTGAAAACAGAAAATATACTTTTAACATTCTTACTTGAATTTTTATGAATTCAGATTTTTACTTAAAGTATTAGTTTTTATTATAATGAAATTTGATTTAGCTACTTTAATAATATATTTTAGTGTCATTAATTACTCTCGATAATTAATAATAATGTACAATAAAACTATTAGAAAATATTAATATATAGTAGAAATTTCTGAAAGATTTTCTAAATAAAACTATTTATTTTACATTATATGGTTCAATTATTGTTTACAATGTTTAAAACATTCAGTAAAATACAAACAGTAGTTCTACATAAAGCATGAACTTTAGTTAAAAATGATGATAATAATTAGATACCTTTTTAAATGCTTTTTTTCCTTCCACTTTGCAATTAATATGTGTATATATATACATATATATATTAATATAAAACTACACCTTGGCTTTGTGTGCTTTTCATGCTATTATGCATGTCTGCAACTGCTTGAAGTTGATTATTTCTTCTATTATAAATTTAGTAGCATTCCATCAAACTTTCAGACATACCTAACAGAAGTAACAGGTAAAGCTCTGACTCCAACTACTCAAAAAAGAAGTAGAAGCAGTATATCTGAAGATTCATTATCTAGAAGTGCATCAGATTCAAGTGTTACTTATCCAAACAACAAAAATGCCACTCTGGGAGCACTCCCTCCCAATGGGTAAGATCATCTTGCCTGATTTATGTCCCCAATATTTCATAATAAAAATCTTATCACATACTTATTTAAAATAAATGTCAAGAGTAATTTAAATAATATATATGTAAATATTTTAAATTTATAATGTCTAATAATAAAATATAGCAGAAATACAGATAGTTTAAAAGTCAGTTAATCTATATCTATACTAATATTATAAAGAGGTAATGTTTGTATGTATGTAAGTAAGTTTGTTTGCAGCAGGTAATCTCCGAAACTACTCATCCGATTTCAAAAATTCTTTCACCAATATTTAGAATGGAACTTCAGGGTGGACATAGGCTGTATATTATTCCGTTAAACATTCATATAAATTAAAAGATATAATCTAGGTTAAGGCTTTTATGTCCAACAGATGGCGCTACGAGTACGACGCCCTAAGTTTGCTTTTCTGTGAAAATGAACTAAAGCAGATCATCTTCTATCTATCTATATAAATAAAAATGTAATGTTTGTTTGTTCCTACGGATTCCTTTGAAATTTTGACACAACGCTGCATTCGAATACGCACGTGTTTTTATATAATATACATGTCGAAATTCAACCCCACTGAAGGGAGATTGTTAGGATTAAGGCTTACAGTAAAGAACTCTGCTTCTATTTATACTATTTTAGATGCGGGTTTTTGCGTTTTTGATTGCGTTTTAATAGGGTACATCAACAGAATGTACACTAAGAAGAAATTTTTCGAAAAATTCCCCCCCCCATGGGGAAGTGTTATAAATTTATAATAGATACATTTTGAGCCACAACAACTCGTGGCAGGGTCTGCTAGTTAATATATAATTTGAAGATTATTTTAAGAATAGACAAAACCACTTAGTAATGTCAGCCTGTTGTTCATGATTCGGTCACTTCAATAGAAATGACAAGCTATTTAAAATTAATTCTAACTATTCTTAAAATATATCTTGGATAACTGACTTTTAGACCATTCTTTATAAATAAAAAGTGAAAAAAACAAAGTTTAAGTTTTTAGTGTAATTTTTAAGTAACTTTTAAATTTACTTGAACCATATTTTATTACAGTAAAACTTTAAATTACAATTTCCATGTATATTCATGAACTTAAAAATTTGCTTTAGTGGAACTCACTGACTAGCATCAAGTACATCAAATTCTTTCAGGCATTCAACTCAGTTATTAGGAGAAACATCAGTGATGATGGATTTGGTTATCTGAAAGTACCTGAGAAAGTGATACTTGATAAAAACACAGTGACTTCCAATAAAGCAAATTTTGAAGTTTTAGTGATTAGAGTTTTTATTCATTATTTACATACAGAGTGATTATAAGTCTCAATCCATTTTTGTGAAAATGATCATCAAAATCCTTTGTTTGCAATTCATGTGATGCATGCTGACCCAAGAAAATGAAATTGATGTGGTTTGCATATGTTTGAGTGGGATTAACATACATGGAAATACCATCAAATCCTCCTGTTCCATAGAGATCATGACACACTACTTGGCATAGTCCTCTTTCTCCTCCTATAGTGCATATAACACTTGGATGGACATATTATGCATGTTTTATGACTTTGTAATGAAGGCTCTCTCTCACTTTTGGTTGTGGCACAGTGAGAACCTACCTGGCTTAGTCGTCTTTTTAATGATGTAGACTCAGTCTTGTTACAGTTTCTACATGTTGAACCAGTTTGTTTATTATGATGGATTTCCTGGAATTGTGTACATTGTCCATTCATCTGAATTTGTTAACCAACAGTCTGAAATTGGCCCTATTAGGATCAGATTTTCTGAATTTCTGGGTGAAGATTTTTTTTACTTCCATGTATTTTAATCCACTAAAACATGTCCAAACAGCAATTATGTCTTTTTGGATCAGCATGTTTCACACAACCTGCATACAAATGATTTTGTTACCATTTTCACAAAAAATGGATAGAGAATATATAATCACACTTTAAATTACTAAAAAAATTATATAAATATAAAAATTCCATTTTCTGATTTTATTGCGAAGAATACTTATAGTTAATTCCTTAAAATAATCAGAGTTCACTAGGTTATTATCCAGTAAATTTTAATGATTTTTAATAATTAATTCTTTATAGGTAAGTCATATTTAAAGAGTTTAAATATATAAGATGAATTAGTTGTAATTACATCTTTTAACAAGCTCTTTTATCTATTTTTATTGTAGCCATCTGCAGATAATGTATCAAATATATCATGTAATAATCATGTAAAAACTGTTATTTATGATATTAAACATTATAAATATAAAGAATTTGAACAGTTATACTAAAATTTATTACTGAAACAATATTGCATTTTTTGGAAGAGTATCCACAAGTTTCCAGAATGTGTTTTTGAATTCTGCCATATGAGGGCATATGTCTTGGCAGCCATTAGATTCTGATAGTTGTTAGTGTAGGTCTACAATTTTTAGTTTTTCATTGGTGACATACCTTATAAAACAATTCAGATAGATATTGTGCACTGGTTGCCGGCTGCCATAATAGTCAGAGAGTTATCTATAAGTGGTTTGAAGCTGTATGCGATTTTCATGAAAACATGATGCATTGAGATTGTCTGTATATTCAACCTTCCAGTTGCATTTATTTTTATATGATGAAAATTTAAAAAGAGAATAGGTAATGCATGTACAGTAGGCCCCCTATAACACAGCAGATACTTTCCGTGTTATATGAATTCTGTGTTGAACGACTCACTTAGATTTTACAAATACATGAGTCGTTCACAGCCCGGCACTTGTGCAGTTTAGGGGGTACAGCTGTTTGAAAGGTTTTCTTCCATAAAATTAATTGATTCTAGACTAATTTGACATGAACATTTCCAAAACACATATAATTTTTTGGGAATAATCCATATAAAATATGCTATAAACAAAAAATTGTAGGAATACTTACTTAGTGCGCATCGTTCAAAGACGCCATTGCTTAAGCTTGTTTTCGTCGCGGAGCAGCTCATTGGATGGTGGATGCATGTTTTCCAATAAGTTATTCTTTCTGTAAAAAATTTGCTGAACTTTGGAGACCATCATTAATAGAAATATAATTTTTATGGCCGTTGAATAATAAATGTTTTTTAGTAGGTCTGCTGCTTGTTTAAACTCAGTGGTTTGTGCAATGTCCACTATTCGTCCAGATTCAACCAATCCTGTAGTGACACAAGTCAGGCATGACAATCTGTCTCATTCTTTTAGTGTGTTATATGAACATAATCACAATTTTTCTGCCATGTTATACAAATCCGTCTTATATGAACCCGTGTTATAGGGTGGTCTACTGTACTATACATCTATCTAGATAAATAACTTTGCCATCATTAGACATACAAGTCAATACAGAATGATTTCTTGCAGATAGGCTTTGTGATGACCTATATTAGGAGTCGACATTTGTCTTAAGGACACAAATGTTTTATGATAATTTATTAATTAAAATTTCATGTACTTTACCACTTGAAAAATAATTATGATAATCAGGACTCCTTTTTATTAATTATTCAAATATAGCAGGATATTCCAAAGGTAGCCATTCTCTCGTGTCATTATTCCATGATTTTATAGTTCTAATTGATGAAAATAAATTAGAAAATACAAGTTTGTAGAAGAAACTATATAAAAATCCAAAAGTTTTGTATTAGACATAATTCTATGATATTCTGTGAATACAGTATTTTGGACTACTTTATGAATTAAATGTCGATATAAATATTTTCTGATAGATAATAACAGTGGAATAATAGTAAAATTACAAAAACCAATTTTGCCAATTATTTCCTTCTAGAAAAAATAAAAAATAGGATTTAAGTTTTCTTAATTTTAATTTTTATCAGTTTAAAAGATATTTCCCCACCTTATACATAGCAGGCTTTTTTTTTTCTTTGTTAGAAAAAATTTAAACTTGTGTAAAAATGATAGAAAATACTCTCTTTATAATTCAAAATATAAAAACCCTTACAATTACTATCAAAATGGGAATTATGAACAAATTTCTATTAATCATTTTAAAATCATTTATATTCTTAACTCTATAGTTTACAGTTTCGTAGTTCTTGCAGTATCTTATTGGCAGGCAATGGTGGCACTACAGTACAGGAAAATACATGAACTTTTCTGGAAACTTGTGATACAGCAAAAGTTTTCTATATCAATAGAAAGAAAATTATTTGGAGAATGAAGGACAAGAAATTTTTCACAATGAAATAATATGATTTGAGATTGAAATTAATAATGTTAATTAGCTCAATTCAAACTCCTATCTTCATTGTAACTAAATAATAAAGTAGCATTATATTAACAAAATAATCGAGTATAAACTAGTATAATAAGACTCTAAACACACCTTGCACACTTTTTCAGCAACTAAATTTAATCAAAACAAACATTTTTATTCTGATTGATAAGACTTTGTTAGGTTTGTACAGAATGACATTTAAAGAGAGAATCTCTATTTCATTAAATTGGAAAAGTGTGTAAGGTGTGTTTAATATCTTCTTATACTGATGAAGCCTAGCTTAGACAATTTTGTATTGATACAAGTATAAAATTAAAAAAAACACTTTTAGTTTTATTAAATACAGTTGTCCCTCTATAGTCCGACATTTTTTAATCCGACATGCTCAGTAGTCCGACGCACCTCCCGTCAAGGTACTCGTCCCTGTTACGTGTCTGCTTGCACAGAAGCATGTCGTGATGTGAATCTCCCCATCCAATTCTTACTCGATGACACACATTTCGTGTGTTTTATGTGAGCAGTTCTGTTCGAACAGTTGGAGTAGAGAATATTGTAAGTTACTGCTAGCAAAACAATGCGAAATATGTAATTATTTTCGGTAATCCGGACACTTTTGGTAATCTGAC